TGCAATCAGAGAATTTAAAGAATAATTTAACAAATAATTGATGAGCAGCTGTGATTTTAATGATTTCAGGTGAAGGTTTCCAGCAGAAAGGTTTCACTGGTGACTCTGCTCATGTGCAACGTTCACATCAAACACTGCGTTAAAAAAAAAAAAAAGAAAAGGTTTCTTCTCTTGCTTTCAGAGACGCAGCACATTATTTTTATGCTTTTTAGGTGTTTAATCTACTTGTCTGGTCGGTGTTCCTGCAGAGCTGCTGAGCAGGAACTTTCAAAACCTGCAGTTTATGCAATAAGTTAAATGAATGTGGAGGAATTATTCAACCTGCAAACCGACGGAGCAAACAGAAGCTCTGACACGGCGACCTGCTCGCTGTTTGACTTGGCAGCGAAGCTCGAGGTGCCGCCTCGAAGTCACAAAGTCAAACTGTGGGAAAACCACGACACGCCCACAGCTGGAGTAATCTGATTACAGCAGCTCAGAGTCGGATCAGAGAACAAAGCTGGAGTCATTCTACTGATGCCACTAATCTGAACGTCTGCCTCGGTGCTGCTGGTTCAGACTCAAATGTTTTCTTAAAGTACAGTTAATGTCTAGCAAAAAAAAAAAAACACTGAAAAAGGATTAATTTACATGTTGACGCTGAAAAAAAAGGATCAAAACAACATCAGAACGAGATATTCTGTTTAATCTTCATGTGACACAAAGAAAAGCATCAAATCTTCACATATGAGAAGAAAAAAATGTTTTTTTAGAAACTTTTTTGCTTGAAAAATTAGTAAAATAAGAAGTTTGTCGTTAAAATTATCAATAAAACAAGTGATAAATCATCAGCAGGCTGTACGGAAGCCTTCAGGTGACTTTATTTAAATGAAAATGTACATTTTTAAATTAAAAACGTGATTTCATAACAGCACTATAAAGCAATATGTGTTCATATTTTATAAATGCAATAAGAGCCGAGTGGGTTGAATTTACGTTTTCATGCCACCGTGCTGATTGTTTGGTCAAAATGAAAGTTTTAAAAACGCAATTTACACGAGCATATTTATCCACCTATGTAGGTCTCCTCTGAGCAAAAACTAAAATGCTGTAATTCAGTTTTAATTTCCACATCCTGGCGTGTATTTAAAATAAAACCAGAGAGTTTGTCAACGACGTTCGTTTCCCACGAAGCTCGTCAAGAACAGACTTCCAGGATCTGAAGCACCTTTTGTTGGAGGATTATTG